AGTTAATAGGGATCTCTGGTGGCCTAGTGGGTAAAGATTTACACACTGCCAATCAAAAAACATTTGTTCCTATTCCAAAGAAAGGTGATCCGACAGAGTACAGAAATTATAGAACAATATCATTAATATTATATACAAGCAAGATTTTGATGAAGATTATGCAAAAACGACTGGAACAGCGTATCAACAGAGAACTGCCTGAAGTGCAGGCTGGATTTAGAAGAGTCTGTAGTACTATGGATATTGTAGCTAATGTTAGATGGATCCTGGCTGAAAACAGGGAGTACCAGAGGAATGTCTATCTGTGTTTCACTGATTATGCAAAGGCGTTTGACTGTGCGGATCACAACAAACTGAGGCTAATTTTGAGAAGAATGGGAATCCCAGAACACTTGATTATGCTTATGCAAAACCTATACTTAGACCAGGAGGCAACTGTTGGAACAGAGCAAAGAAAACACTGCATGGTTCAAAGTTGGGAAGGGTGTACACCAGGGATGTGTCCTATCTCCATACCCTTTCCATCTATATGCAGAACAGATCATCTGGGAAGCTGGGCTCTGTGAGGAGAAATGTGGCCTTAGGATTAGAGAAAGACTCATCAACAATCTGTGTTATGCAGATGACACAACTCTGCTTAATGAAACTGAGGAGGACCTGAAGCGCTTGCTGTAGAAGGTCAAGGACTGCAGACTTCAATATGGATTGAGGCTCAATATCAAGAAAACAAAGATTCTCACCATACGGCCAATTGGCAACATCATAATAGATGGTGAAAAGATTGAGACTGTTAACAGCTTTAGACTGCTTGGCTCCACAATCAACACTCTTGGCACCTGCAGGATACTGAAGAGCAACAATATCAGTCTGGAGACTAAGGTGTGCCTAATTCAGGCCATGGTCTTTGCATTCACTTGTTAGGCATCAGAGAGCTGGACAATGACTAGGGATGATAGAAAGAGAATTGATGCCTTTTAGCTGTGGTGTTAAAGAATTGAATATACCACAGACTGCTAAGACAACAAACAAGTTCATCCTAGAGAGGGTAAAACCAGGCTGCTCCTTGGAGGCAAAAATTCTCAAGTTTCGTCTGACATACTCTGGATATACTGCGAGGAGGGAACAGTCCTTGGAGAGAGACGTCAAGCTTGGGAGAGTGGAGGGACAGGAGAGGAAGACCATCTATGAATCTATGAGATGGATTGATTCAGTGACTGGGGTAACGGGGGGGGGTAGGTATGTCAGAGAAAGTGAGATTGGCACAGGATACAGAGTACGGTTTAGGGTTGTTACAGAGTACGGTTTAGGGTTGTTGTCACAGGTGACTCGACGCCACATAACAACAACAAGAACATCTTTAAGTTACTCCTATAAGAAGCATGGCAAATAAACAACATGGGGAAAAATTTTTGCTGCTTTCAAAGGCTTTAGAGTGAGAATTTTGACCTCATGTTCTTTCAAAAGATATCTAAGAGAAGTTTGAGCTGATATGTTTTTATTAATTTTTACCTTCTCTCCTGTATTTGTCCATTAGAAGAGAGTCAAATGTCCCCTCCCCAAAGCCTTTCCCAAGGTCAATGTATTACTCCACATAGTTCTTTGTTTATTATTAATATGATCCATATTATACAAAGTTATAGATGTCTATCTCTGTATAGAATTTGTCCTATTGAATATGCCTAACATTAACAACAGGTAGAAACTGAGCTTTTGTTATGTGGCTAGTACAAAATGAAATGTGCTCAAGTGTAAGATACCTGTCAAATTACAAAGTCTTCTCTCACTTTCACTGCCATCAAGTCAGAACCAACCCTCTAGAGGGTTGTCAGAGGCTATAAATTGTCCTGGAGGACGGCCCATCAGGGTGCCGTGAAGCCGCTGGTGGTTTTGAACTGCTAGAGAGGCTCCACCTTTGGACTGGCAGCACAAACCAGAGCTCCTCATGGACTACGCCACCACAACTTCCTGCACGCCAAATTTCAAAGCCTTAGTCTCAAAACAAAAAATCCTCTTTTATTCATAATTTTTATATCGAATACATGTGCAATGTACCTATTATGTTAAAGAAATACTAAAATTCCTTTTGTTTACTTCAATGGAGCTATTATTAGAAAGTGTGCATTACATCGGGCTCTCACAGTATACATCTACTGGATGGTCCTGCTTCTGCTCTAGAGTCTAGGTTCCTTCACAGAATAGCCTTTGTGTCTTTCATCACTGAATCCTCCAAGAGGAGCTTACAAAAAAATTCATATTTAAATTCAACTCTTTTTATCTTAATTTATCTTTGAATCCTCTTTTCTGACATGATTTAATCTGATGTAATAGATTAAATAAAAAGTATCATCAAAATAAAGTGTGAAAAATAAAAGAGGCAAAGTTAAATATGAGGTTGTTCATGGGCTAAAACATTTCATGGCTATGAAACTGAGTGTTCTGTTAAATTACTACTACATCTCCCTTTCCCCCACATAGCAAGTGGATGAGTAAATATATTCATTTAAACAGTATTTACTGAGAAAATACATGGAAAATTTAGACATTTGTCCCAAGAAATCTCGATATGGTAAATTGAAGCAGAAAAGACAGAAAGAACAGAAGAGCCAGTTTACATGTAGACTATGGAGAAAACACCCTGGCAAAAGAGGAACTCGGGGAAAGAATGTATTCAGATATGGTCTGCCTTTCTTTTAGCTACTGGTCAACCAGGCTGTAGATGCAAGAGGAAGGCTACAAACACAAGACATACCACTATCAACAGTCAAACCTGGATAAATGTATGTGCACAGCAAATGCCACTGGTATCACCACCACAGAAAAAAGAAAGCAGCGACATAAGGACAGTCTCAAAATTTGGTCCCTATTCTCCTAAATGTAGGAATATTAGTACTCAGATGGTCAAGTTTAATCAACACTATTTCCTCCCACAAATTGAGACACAACTTTTATTCTCGCCTGTCTGAAGAAACATATGGAAATAATTAAAATAGTTTGGTTTAAAGTTGTTAACTGTGGAACTAGTAGATGAGTGAGAGTTTCTCATTTGATTGTTAAAACTGAAATCAATATTGTACTCATCCAATACAGTTACGTAAAAAAGGAACCAGCCTTGGCAGAACTTTAAACAGTAAAAATGCACTATTATTTCTGCAAAATAAATTAGCCACAATTAAAATTCCATTATAATAAGCATCATAGAAACTCTTGCATACTTCGCTTTAATAGAATTGTTTTAATGAACACAACTGCTAGTTAAAGAATCAGGACATAAAACAGTATGAAAGTAGAAAGGAAAAAGTTCTTTCCATCCTGGAAGAAAAAAGAATATACTACCTACACTGTGAATTAGGCTGAGATGTCAGCCTTAAAGAATCAAAACACTGAAATTCACCATGAAGCAAAGGAGGCTGAAGGAATTTTTGACCCTACAGAATCAATCCTAAGGCCAAATGAAATATAAAACACACAACAAAGAAACCTAAAACTAAATGAAACCAACTGCTGTTGATTCTGACTTAGGGTGACCTCATGTGGTACAGAGTAAAACTGCTTCTGTAAGGTCACTGCCTGGATACTGTATAACACATCAGGTCACCATCTCAACCTGATTCAGCTCCTTCTTCCACCTGTCCCAAAACAATGCCATTTCTTTATATAGAATGATGCTTGTTAGAAGAACATGGACCAGAGACGTTTTATCCACAAAGTTCTGCAGGACTAAATTGTGGAGATTTTAGTTTAACTCGATTTCCAAGCACTGTTGGGACAAGCTAATCTTGATGCAGATACTTTGCTCTACAGAGATATATACTCTGTATACAGATAACAAAGTATGTAGAAACTCTGCCATATAGAGCACTTCCGTCTACATGTTGTGAAAGAATCTGACCCAACTGACACCAAGATGCCAATACTAATCAGAAAATAAGTTCTTTTAAAGTGGTATTTCGCTCTTTGAATCTTATTTTTGAAAAGGTGTTCATGAAAGATGAGTTTTCATTTAAATGTCCAAAACAGAAATGGTTTCTTAATAACTTTTAAAAAAACAATATTTCTTTAACTCTTGAAACTCCACAAACCTCAGTTTCGATGCTTTTCTCATCCTTCTCTACCTGCTGGAGATCTTCAATTTTTTTATGACAGTCTTTGAGCTCATTTTGCAACTGGGAAACCAGACGGCGCTTCACCGAGTTGCTACCCAGCAAGCGCTGCACTTCGGCTTTCAGCTTCAGAATGACCTCTTCTTTGGAAAGTTCTTTATTTGTATCTTCTTGCTGCACAGCACTAAAAAGGAAATTGCCATTAAAATTAGTACCAAATTATGCAAGATTTTTCCTTAAAGGCTACTAGTTATAGTGATAAGTACACTTTGTGATCTAGTTTAACTATACTAGTAGTTCAAGGGAGCTCTTCAACTTTGCCATGTGCAAGGATACCTTTGCTGCAACCCCACATATAGAAGCAGCTTTCTTCATAGTAAAAGCATTTCTAAGTCTAATCCTGTTGCCTCACTGTAGGGCGTTCAGCCCTGTGATCATCAATGTGGCTTGAGTTTTTGGTTTTGGAAAATGCACACATTTTTAGGACTATAAGAGAAACATGAAAATTAAGGAGGGCACGGTAAATATTAACTACCTTAACAAACAATTTCTCAATGCCTTTTAATTTACTAAAGCACAAGACTGGTGAATATCTTAGCAACTGGCAAGGGGAAAATAACAGACATAAACCATGCTTCATTTCAAACAAACGTTAGTTTCAATAAACTTCAAACAAGGAGTGAGAATTTCTGTACCTTGTCATGTTGCAGTAACAAGGACCAGATTTAGCCTCTGCCTTAAATAACTAGAAAACCAATAACAGGCATGAAATAATGGTTTTCCATCATTTAAACTTAAGTCAGCTCAGAACACTGATCCTAAGAAAAGGGAAACAGACAGAGTAAGTACTGTGATTGTCCCAGCCACAGCCCAGAGAGGGAAAACCCAAACTGAGCCTCACAATCTTAGGGAGTTACAGAGAAAGATTCCAGATCTAGGGGGAGCCTTAGTGGTTAGAACTAGATGGAGAAAACAGTGAGCCAGCACATGGAGAAATCTTTACAGATGTGAGTATGCATATAAGGAAATTACCTTGAGGCCAGGAAAAGAACCTTAGGACAGGAGTGGGGCTGGGAAGACAAACCAGCTCCTTATTACTCTATTCATGGCAAGTAGCAGAAATTCTCATCTCATTTTCTTATCTAATCAGGTGTGTTGTCTTCTGTGCTGTCCAAATGCAATCAATCTACAGTTGACCCTCCAGTGAGTTTTCATGGGCTGTAAACCACACAGGAGACTGTTCCTCTTTCTCCTGGTTGATTCAAACCACCTGCATTTAGGTTGACAGTGTAATTCCTTCTCAATAGGCCACCAGAGCTGAATCAGGTTCAGAGCAGACTTTTATCTAGAGCTAATGTGGAGGTAAAGAAATACTGGTCCAGATTGATATTCTTGTCTTAAACCATAGAATTCAGTAAAGCATAAAAAATAAATCTCCAGTCATTAGACAGCAGCACAGTACATACAGATCAATGTTACAGAGTCAAGAGTATGAAATAGATCAATAAACTAATAACCAAGATTCCAAGACAATTCAATACTAATGAGGAAAAGTTTTTCTGACCAATGGTATTAGCTCAAAATGGATCTAGATACAAATTTTAGAACTAAAATAATACAATTCCACGGGGGGGGGGGGAGGAAGACAAAAAGAAACATTAAATTAAATATTCAAACCATGAATCACAAGAGAGAAAATTGATACAATGGGATTCACAAACGTTTAAAACCTCTGCTCTTCAAAACACAAGATTAAGAAAATGAAAAGGCCAAAAACAGAATAGAAAGGTTAGAGACTAAAGGAAGTGGATATCCACATGGATGGGACAAAAGGATTAAAGCACTTTTACAATTCAACAGTAAAAAATAGATAAAAATAGGCAAAGGATTTCAATAGACCATCAAACAACATGAAAAATATGGCACAAGAGCACACTGGGAGGCGGGAGAGAAAGGGAAACAAAGCACATCAAAAGAGGCTTGACTTAAAATTAAAAAAAAAAAGGAACTCTCCTACAGGACTTTGTTGGCTGATGACATAAAACAGCAACAACAATCTACAAATGCAGTGGTGTCCCTAGGTGAGTACTGCCAAACTAGGCTAGAGGTTGAGCACAAACCATTTACACACCCAGAGACGTTTTAACATTCAGTGTTGTTGTTAGGTGCCATCAAGTCGACTATGACTCATAGCGACACTATGAACAATAGCTCTGAGCCTAGTCCAATTCTGAACCAATCTCACTGTCTCTGGCACACCTACCACTATTACCTCAGTCACTGTGTCAACCCACTCATTCAGGGTCTCCTTTCTTATACTGACCCTCCACCATTCCAAGTATGATATCTTTCTCCAAGGACTGGTCCCTGCCAGCAACATGCCTGAAGAATGTGAAACGGAGCTTCAAAATCCTTGCCTCCAGAAAGAAGCCCGATTTCACCCTCTCCAATACAGACCTGTTCTCTTGGCAGTCCATGGTACGTTCAATACTCTTCTCCAACACAACTCAAAATCATTGCTGCTTCTTGTCATCTTTAGTCATTGTCCAGCTCTCTGATGCATAGCAAGTAATTGCAAAGACCATGGTCTCAATCATGCACACCTTAGTCTCTAGGCTGATATTCCTGCTCTTCAGGACTCTGGAAAGGTCCCTGACAGCAGACTTCTCCTATGCAGTTTTTCTTATGATTTCCTAATTGCTGGTGCTAAGAGGGTTTGACTGTGGATCTGAGCAAAATGAAATTATTAAGAATCTCAATCTCTTCTCCATCTGTACTGATGCTTCCAATTGACCTAGTGGTGAGAATCTTTGTTTTCTTGATACTGAGTTTCAATCCATATTGAAGAATGAAGTCTTTCTGCAGTAAAGGCTTCATTCAGGTTCTCTTCAGTTTCGGCAAAGAAGATTGTGTCATCCGCATAACACAGATGGTTGATGAGGCTTCTTCCAATCTTGATGCCACAGTCCTCCTCATTAAGTCCGGCTGCCTGAATGACCTGTTAAAGGGTATGGACAACGGATGCATCCTTAATGCATTCCTTTCCTGATTTTTTTAAATATTTATTATTTTTTTTATTCACTGTTGCACATTTTCTTCCCCCTCATCCCCCCTTTCTCCAGGTCACACCACAATGCACCCCTTGTTCCGAATTGTATTGTTCTCATACATATAAGGCATAATCATATATTCCTTTCAGGCAGTCCTTCTGTTCATCTGTTCTAAAGTAGTGTTCATTATCTATCCACTCTTTCCCTAGTCTCTACCAAAACACCCCATTTTATAACAGCAGTGGTATGCAGTATTTGTCCTTTTGTGACTGAGATATGTCACTCAGCATAATATCCTCTAGGCGAGGACATTGTCTTTTTCGAGTTCATATTTTTTTTTTTTTTTTTTTCTTAATTATATTTTATTAATTTTCATAAACATTTACAGAGATTTTGGGCTTCCACTCATTCATTGTTGCACTATTCTCTCTACCCTCCTCCCAGTTTGTTCTTGTCCAAATGCCACAGTGCTTGTCAAAGCCAGTTCTGATTAATCTTCTTTGTCAGTGTATCCTTTGCCATTCCCTATCACTCCTCCCTGAGAGAGACTTCACCCTGAGTCATAAGGAAAAGGGGACGGCGTATTCTCTTAGCTACTTCCTGCTGAAAAGGGACGCTGTGGGTTTCAGGGTGAAGATCTTCTCTCACTACTCTAAAGGGCCCCTTTGGCAGTAGGAAACACATAGACTATTATGGAGATTGATTTTGAGTTCATTTTTCAATGCTCTGTAGTATTCCATTATGTTAATGTACCAAAATTTTTCTATCCATTCGACTATTGATGGACTTGGGTTGCCTCCATCTCTTTCATACTGTGAATAACAGCAATAAACATGGGTGTGTATACATTTGTTTGAGTCAGGGCTCTGGTATCTTTAGGATACATTCCCAGTAGTGGAATTTCTGGGTCACATAGTATTTCTTTCCAACATTTTGTTTTCTTTTTTTTTAAATAGTTTTTTTAATTGTGACTAATGAAAATTTACAGAAGAGTTAGATTTTTCGTTCATTCACTGTTGTACATTTTACCCCCTCTCCCTTCATCTGATCACTTTTTTTTAAGGAAAAAAAAAAGACTCATTCATTGTTGCACAGTTATTTCCCTCCCTTCCCTCCCACCCATTCCTCTTTGCAATGGACTTTTTATTCTGGGCTGTGGTCATATGTATGATGCCTAATCATATATTCCTTTTAAACAGTTCTTTCCTTCATTTGTTACAATTGCAATAATCATTACCTATCCACTCTTATCCTAGTCTCCTCCCAACAACCCCCCACCCCATGCCAGATTTGCTTTATAACAGTGGTGCAATATCCATTTGCTGTACAGAGATAACTCGTGGTTGTTGTGATGCAAAACACTGTGACACTGACGTGTCAAATGTGATAATGGTTACCCATGGTGGACAGTGTTTGGTGGAGCTTCCCAATTAAAACAAACTTGGAAGCAGGAGTGGCATCCACTTCCAAAATGGCTTGCCTCTGGAAAATCTATGAATGTAGAGAAACAATAAAAGTTATATAAGTGTTCACGTCTTTTGTTCATAAGGTTGCTATGAGTCATCTACAACTCGATGGTATTTAACAACAACAACATGCAGTATTTGTCCTTTTGTGACTGAGATAGTCAACTAAGCATAATGTTCTCCAGGGTCACCCATGTTGTATGTTTTATGAGTTCATTGCTTTACAGTGCTGCGTAGTATTCCATTATATGAGCATACAATAGTTTTTCTACCCATTTGTTTGTTGATGAGCACTTGGGTTGCTTCAATCTCTTTGCTATTATAAATAATGTAGCAATAAACATGCATGTGCGTGTATCTGTCTGGATGGTGGTTCTGGTTTATTTAGGATATAGTCACAGTAGTGGCATTACTGAGTCAAATGGTATTTGTATTTCCAACTTTTTGAGAAAGTGCCAAACCACCTTCCACGGAGGTTGCACCATTTTATACTCCCACCAGCATTTATTGTTTGCTGCTCTGTTGCCCTTTGTTATTGCTGCTGGAATGAGATGATATCTCGCAGTTGTTTTGATTTGCATCTCTCTGATAGCTAGGGAATTTGAACATTTCTTCACGTGTTTGTTTGCCATTTTAATGTGTTTTTTGGTGAAGTGTCTGTTCATATC